CGAATAAAGGCCATTTAGTTATCTCTGGAATGATGTAAAAACGAGCGTTCTTGCTCATTTTGCTTCCGAGAAACATGCAAAACGGGACGGAAAACCTGAAATTTTGCAATAATCTTGCGCCACCCTTGCACAAAACCACGATCATTTTTCTAATTTTATAGATAACAGAAGACTGTATTTTTTCTACATAACCCCCCTGACTTTAAAGCTGGATCCGCCCCTGTGTGAACGGAAATTCGACAAAATAGCACTACATGAATATTTTTGATATTTCAATATTTAAAATACTATATCGAATACTAACGTATTGAATGAAAACCGAGTGATTTCAACTTTAATTGTAGCACATATTCCGCAAATAAATTTAGGTGAGATAAAATATTCCAAAGTTGGTCTGTTGCAACTACTAGTTGTCACAATCCCTTAATATGGCAAAAAAATACATATTTATTATTATAAGGCTTCGATATTGACACATCATTGAAATTTATTCCGTACAATAGTCTTGTTCACCTAAATTAGGATGTCCAATAATGTAACGACATTGGAAATCTATTTCCAAAAGCGACCACATTAAGCTTAGAAGGTTCGAACATTTAAGTACTATTATATTTAATATATCCTGTAATAATGCCTTCAAGCATGAGTTCAAATATTAAAAAGCACTGGTTAGTATAATCCAAAATCATTATGTCGATTTAATATCGTAGTGAATAACAATAATGTGAAGCATTTGAAGGTGTATAGATAAAACGTATCATTATTTTTAATAAAAGGTTAATAAAAAACGTTAGTGTAATTAGGATCAAGGCAGTAAAACGTCGCGCTTGACAAAAAATTGGCCACAGATTTAATGCAAATTTTAATGGTGCTTTTACCTATGACCCACATATTAACACTTTCCTACGGTCTATTAGTTTCTATCAAGCCACATACGTAAAATCAATTCTGTGATACTTTCTTAAAATTAAGTTTATCAATATAATTAATTATGTATGGTATTTAGATATCTGCTAATATATTCTTGAATCAGCCAAAGTTAAGAGATGTACCATATTTTATTGGCTTTTTTTGTTTGTACCAATCCGGCGTTATGTGCATTGTTTTGTTACTATTCTTGTATTTATCTGTTTTATAATTTTTTCGCTTTATTGATCGAATCAATTTTCAGTTGGTTTTCGGTATATTTAGTAACAAATTAGCACCAAATTACTACATTTAGGTTAACTTCCGGCAATCGCCACTTCTTGGTATTAAAAAAACCGGCCGCTTATTAAGTTTTCTATTTTCAATCGATAATTCTCTAGCAATTTTCCTAATGAGGATAATTATATCAATTCAGATAAGATAATCGAAGACGTTATTTTCCAAGGATTATAAACTTCGAGGTTTTAATTGAAAATTAAAAAGAAGTTTAAAGCAGATTTCCCTTATTGATTTATCAATTAGCAATCTAAGCTGTTTGAATAAATTTACGCATAATCTGGCTTTCAAACTTTTCATATAATTTGACGAAGTTAAATTAGAGAAATGCATTTAGCAGTGATGGTTGGATACGCCGAAATTGAGCAGCTCTGACTGGGTATTTTTGTCTTGTTTTATTCTTATGGAAGGTATTTTTGTGTTTAAATTATAATTGTTTTCTTGCATGTACATCACTAATAGTCTACTATCACTAAGATATTAAACTATTGAGGAAAATAAAATAAAAATAGAAATTTGTCATCAGCTTGAAAGTTTTACAAATGCCCGACTTTTGTGCGACATTCAACCCTTACCCCGAGTATTTCAGTTTCTTAGATCGATTCCGTTTTGGAACTATACAAATACATTAGCAATCAAACAAACAAACAGGGCCTCAAATTGACCACCCTGTACAATACCCAAACGTAAATTGGTAACCCAAATGCTGAGTTCGCGGTGCGTAGCGTATGCCATAGCGTGACTCTTGCCTTATTTAATTAACTTATTGAGATGTTTGTTTTTATACAGGTGCAACTGGTGCATGATCAAATGCTACTCTAGATAAAATCCATCAGCAAGTTCCGCTGGCATCAAATATTTCCTATTTTGTTCTTTCAATTTCCGGCTAATTATCTTTACTTGGCAGGATTTAAACATTTTTTAAGTGAATTGAACGTAATTGATATAAAACGCAATATTTCGTTTATATTTTCCAATGGAATGCGGGAAGTATAACAAATTAAATTAATAAATCTTTTATATTTTACTGGCTAGCATTATTCTTTCAAATCAAGATTTAAGTTAACAAAAATTAATGTACTAATTCAGTACAAACCAATTGTGCCTAAAAATCAGCTTTTCATTCATGGCACTACATTTTGTATGCAATTCTCTTGGTATCAACAATTTTTTTTAAATTTTCGGTTTTAATACAAACTCACTTTATTGAACCATCAATATAAATTGATTACAACCATGTAATTAATTAATTTTTCTATATGAATTTGTTTAGGGGCATCGGTTATTCTAGCGGCTTGATTCATCTAGTCTATCTAAAGTCTCCTTAAAGTTTCCATATGGAGAAATTGGAGAAGTTAAATTTGAATGTTTGTTGTTGATTTTCCAAAATTTTGAAAGACAAACACTGATTTTTCTTTCATAATTCTTTGTAAATCAGGCCTAATATATGAATTTGTTTCTACTTCTGGTGTCTACTTCAGGTGTTTGACACATTTTGGTGACCTCTTTGCAAGCAATAGGCACCGTAAAAACACAAATTCTAATAGATCAATAAATCATGCTAACTAAATCAAACTCCGATGCCTCGAAAATATGTAAATTTTACTGGATAAATTGAAAGCTCTTCTAAACAAAGATCGTTTTTCTTTCAGATTGCACTACATATTGTCGTAAATACGCAATGTTTTGGAGGGACTTGTTCCATACTAAAAACTGTATCGGCGAGAAAACGAAACAAAATCGGCTGTATCGGCCGGAAAACTGTATCGGCGAAAAAAACGACAACGAAGACAACGCAAAGTTGCTCTGTCTTTAAATCAATAACGTCTAATTATTAAAAAAAATCTTACATCGGAAAACCAATATTTATAGAACACGTTTATTTATTAGGTCTATACGGACCTAATAAATCCATTGGCATAACATCACGGTCGTGAGAAAGCATTCTAATGTCAATGTGAACGGTAAACGAATATGCAATGGCATCGGATTTTTGTCGTATATAGAAAGTTAGTGACTGGCTATTCCCTGAGAAAATTTTCGTGATTTATCTTCGGAGTAAATTGCTTATTGCTTGCATATATCAATTGGTCACTTGTGAAAATGAATGCCATCAGAAAAATTGCTAACATTTATAATTGAACGATTTATTACAATAAACATTAACATAAACATTGAAATACAAGTAAAAAAATAAGCAAAATCTAACAAATAGTAATAATAATATCTAGTAATTAGGCCTGGGTAACTCTGTTAATTTTTAGGCGCTGCCGCAATGCTGCTCAAATGGTTTGATGCGCCAACTCAACGTCAACGCACCTGAGCAGTTCCATTGTTGGAAAAACGTTACTTAAATAATTATCGGGGTAAAAAACGATTAATGTTTTTTTTAGTTTGTTGGACAAAGTGGTAAAACATAAAAAACGTTGGTTTTTAGATGTTTTAACTTTTAACTCTATTACACTTTAACTGATGAGTTATGTCATCAGTTAATACGTTATAACTCATCAACTCAGAGCGCGGCAACAACTTAACACAGTGTTATCCAGGCTTAGTACGAGTAAGTAGCTCGAAGTAGTAAAGATCTTTATTCGTTTTACAAAAGAGCCATCCATCCGTATCGGTCTTCTTGCGATGAGTTACGCAAACTAGTTAAAAAAAATAGAGTTAGCTACACATTGTGAAATAACAACTGTAGCTGCAAAAGATCGTGAAAAAATCAAATCTGAATTTATAATTGTAAATTTTCCAATGAGTTTCTGGTTGGGAAGAAAAATCGCGTTTATCTGGTTGGTCTTGTTAAGCAGAGAGAGATGAGGAATTTTCAGCTGTTAAGGATGTGTTGTACATGCCATCTCAACATCTGCTAGATCGCATTGAATTTTTTTTTTAAAGAAACATATTTTCGAGTTCTATTTTTCTATACTTTCCGAATTTTCCCACTCGCAAATTCCGCTTCACGGACATATTTATTTAAAAGCCGAAATTTTCAAACTTTTTAAAACTGCTTTAAAAGTTATTAAAATTTGAAAAATGGTTAAAATAGCAACCGTTAAGGGTCCAAGAAGGTCTAAATGTGGGGGTCTAAAAGCGATCTTCGATTTTTTTAAACTTTTTCAGCATCTTCTAACCACAATATTCTCAGTGTAAAAATTTAAGGCAACGAAATTAAATGTATACAAGGACCATGCAAACAGTATTTCCTTGTCCTTGTCCAACGGGTATCCGGTCCAACAATACGGGTATTGTGATTTTATTATCAAATAAACTCTAGAAATGCGCAGTGCTTTTATTCTCCGAAAATAATAAGTTAAAATCGATTTGAGCAAATCATTAAGTGAACAGTATTTAAAGAACCAATTCAAGCCCAACAATTTGTTGTTGACGAACTATTACAAAAAAACTATTTTGATTTTATCGCTGATAGATAAGCATAAAATCGCGTGGTAATTCGCCTAAAACAGAGTTGTCTATACGTCATATTAGGCATGTGTTTATACTAACTGTTCTTTTACACTTTCTACTAATACTATTCTCTTTCAGGTAATATTGATCTTCATTTTATGCAGAGCACATGGTCAGGAGCTAACTAGCATCTCTGTAAGGAACCCCATTAGACAGTATGGATCAGTAAAACTCTTCAAAAAAACCACGGGATATCCAAAAATTTTAAATTCGAGAACACCAGCAAATGCTATACAAAGCAATCCCTATTTTATCAACCCCTATATCAACTGCGATAATTTAAATCAGTACACCGCTGGCAAAAGTAAATCTTGTGTATTCGCCAGCGAGAAACAGATTCAGCCTTTAGAGTCTGTGCAAGAGGCATTCAATGATTTTGGTGGACTGGCCGGGCCTCAAAACTCATTTGAATTAGACAAATTTAAAAGTGAGGGTTATATTGGAGATAAAGAAATTCATATATTGCATTTACCCAAGAACAAACCTCATGACTTTGACGATATAAAGTTGCATTTATCCCTGCTGAACGCGCATTCAACTCCAGATGTTCCTGAAATCGACTTGGACCTCAACAAGCACTTCGGAAACTTTGAGGTGAACTTTGCAAGTAAGTTACATTGATTTGTAGTATAATAAATTTCATGGGGCCATATTGTCGATATACATACACGTCAACTATTTTGAAAAGGAATAAGTTTGAAGTATTTAGACAAAATTATATTTTTCCTTAAATGGTTGACGATTTTCGACGCGACGTAAGTACACTCAGATTGGTGAGGATACACACGAAAGCTCTGAATGATGAATGTAATATCCAATCTCATGTTGTTTACGAGTTGAGATGAAGCTTCTAGCATATTTTAAATATGCTATAAACCAACGAGTGTGCAATCATAAAGGAATGAGAACAAAACTATCGCAGCTTCGGCAATTTATATTTTTACTTTCTGGCCAATTGGAGCCATTTAAAACATCAGCTTTTTTATGTTTCAAATATCAACATTTTTATATGTGTTTATTGGAAATATTGTGTTATCCGATATTTCTTAAACTTAAAATGCGTACTTGTTTCAAGGCGGTATCTCTCATCGTTTTCAATATATTTTCCGTTCAATCCTCTAGTGATTTTTTGAACTAACTCAAATTCGATCCCTAATATTGTCGTAAATTGTCATTTTTAGACTAGCCCATGGACAAAATTTGCTTTACTCTCAAATTGGAGTCAGTTCAGTGCTAAAATATATTTTTTAATTTTGCTACTATTACATTGAATCAGTTAAATCATTTCTATAAAGAAAATGCCCCGACATTACTTCCGAATGAAGAAATTCGCTATATGGATTTGTGTTTATTCGCCGGAAAATTTAAAATGCTGCAGAAGACTTCCAAAACTATTTTTTTAATACGGCTATCATTTATTAAAAGGCTTTGTAATTGTATTGAAGTCAAAAGAGTTCAGTTTGAACAATAATTTTTTAATTATTTTCAAAGACTTTATGAGTCTAAAAAGTACTTTAAATTAGTTCGAAATGTGTCCACATAAATACTGTTTAATGTTTGCTAAGTTTTATTTTATGGGAACTTTCAACACTTTTATTGTATTGTATATATATATATATGTAAATATTTCGAAAATGATGAGTGACATCGACTTCGAACAGGACATTTTCTGTTTAGGAAAAATCAGAGACCGAGCCTGGCCAATACAAAAGTGATACCTATTATAAAACTTGAAGCCTAAAAATAATGTTTTAAATTGGTATAGGCTGTGGCATTTGGCACCTTCTAGGAACTAAAAGTTAAGTGAAGAGAAATATGGAATCCTCGATCTAAAAAACCCATCAAATATCCTTTCCTTAATTTTTTTTTCTATCTATAACAATCAATTGTTTTTTTCGTTTCTGTCTGTAGTTTTTTATGGTTGAAGTTCCCTTGGTCTTATCATGGATTCATGATTAGTTTATTGGGTCCATTCAACATTCAATTATAAAGTCAAAAATCATGCAAAATTTGAGATTTTTCAGTTCTGATAAAATCAGCTATTTCTATTTTGCACGGCTTGAAATGATGCTTTTAAATCTCTTCGAATCCTTAAAAGTTTTTTTTCGAAAAAAATCGAATCCTTCAAAGTCCTTAAAACTTTATGAAATTGTATCATTTCCAATTTTCGGCTCAATTATTATTTTTCGAAGTTTGTAATAATAAAATTTTCTTTTTATCTAGTTGGGTCACCGTCCAATATTTTGCTCAAAATTGACACAGTTAATTATATTGTGCATTCATTACTACGATTTCAAAGTAATTGTTGCACGAATAACATAATGCAATACTTATACAGGGTGTCACATCGAGAACCACCGCTATCGATATATTTTTGATTCGTTTTTCATTGTTTTGGAAATTTTGACTTCGTCGCAACGCAATAGTTCTTAGGAAAACATGTATTCTACAATCCAGAGGTTTTACTGCAGCGAAAATACTCGATGCGTTGCAATTTACAACTAACGTAAGACGTACTAAAAGAAAAAGTAATTGGCTACATCGCCAATTAGCCGTATTATCCTTAGAAATATACAGTGGTGGTCGTCATATAACAACCACTGAATATGTGATGACTATTTTGTGAGTTTTATGTGAAATAACGAAAATGTATTTCTATTTGTTCAGGTATCCAACCACCAAAGCTGGATGCATCGTTTCTTCCGACCCCTACAACATTTGGTATCACTGATAGAAGACGACCGCCAATTCAGTATCATCTAGATTCCCAGTTTCCTTTAAATGTTGTTCAGCATCATCACGAAGAATCTGAAGACATTTTAGAGGTATGTAGAGAATTCTAGTATCAAAAACATACAATAAAAACAGTTTCACCGCTTCATAGCATTTGAAACCAGCAATACATATGGATCATTTTGTGCCCATCTTCATTACGAACTTAGCAAATTATATAGAAATCTTACATACATCACTTTCGTGTTTATGTCGTTAGCAATTAAAGTGAAAATACTGGGCATCTGACTGATTACTTATAATTTCTCAATAAAATACCTTATTATAAAGCATGTTCAGTGAAACATTTTATGTACTTACAGTTCGCCGCACTAAAAGAACTGATGAGTTTGATTACGGCTAAAATGAGTTTGCTGCGCTTCTAAAAAATCCTCTATTATATGTAATTATGACACTGAACATTGTGCGCAAAATTATTTATTAGTAAAGTAATAACACTAGCACAAGCCTAATTATCGTTTCACATCAGCATCGTTTTGATACAGTCTACATTAACATCTACATCCCTGTATATATGCCTTTGTTATATAATGCCTTTGGAGAAAATTTTATGCAAAGCAAAAAAAACTAACAGCAAAAACGGTATACATATATGCAATCATTTAATACTGAGGGGGTTTTATCTTCCGAAACTAAATACGTTCCAAAGTTTTTCAAAAATCATTTTTTGGTGAAAGTTTCATATGTTCAAACTGGTATAATTAGTTTTGTATGTTGTCAATTTACATCAATCTAAATTTTGTGAAAATCGTTCTTTATACAGGACGGCACGGAAAATTGCGGCTAAACTATTTAATTTTCGAAAAGCTTCATTTTATCTATAAACGAAGGGTTGCCGGGGGTTAGATTATGAAATACTTTCTAAATGTACAGTATGTTTTTAAATAAATGTGAATGCTACTCAAGTTTATCCGTTTATCTTACCTAAAATGTATCTTTTTTCTGGTTTCTGAGATTTGGAGTTATGAGCTATAAAAATGAAGAACTTTTTTAAGTTTAAATGTTGAAGACCTAATCCCAATTTCAATATAAAATTTTACCTATAGGCGACTGATAGATGCGCTTTGTGACAAATGAATAAAATATGGAGATACAGGGTGTACCAAAATTGTGTTCAAACAATTGCACGTTTATAACAGGAGCAGATAAAAAATGTCATTTTCTATTCAGTACTATAAAGCTATTCTGTACCTAAGTTTTAAGATTTTCATGAAAATCGTATACTTTCACGATTCATGACGTTATTATCAAATTTAATAATATATCAAGGCACCCGTCGCCATTTGATGGGCCTAAAAAATTTCGACTAGAAACTCGAAATTGGTGTTGGCAATTTAAAGTTTATAAAATATATATTTAAAAGTCAAGCTTTAAGCAAGATCAACCTTAATAGCACACATTTATTTCGATCGTTGTTCTGCTCACTAATTGTATACTAATATACAACGTATTTCATTAAGAAAACCAGAGCTTTGGGTTGAATTAAGACATGACAAAATAATGAGTTAGGACAGGACAAAATAATTTAAAAAAATTAAATAGTTCTATCTAAATCTTCCATGTCGTATAATCTGATACACCCGTACAATGAAAACACTAGAAGTGTCTGTTGTTGGAGAGTACGTGAAAAATATAGGTTTTTTTTGAAAATTTCTAGGCGGTATTAACAGTTGTCATTAGGCATTATTTTGAAATGATCCCATGTTTGAAATGATCCCAAGCCTATTGGAATACTTAAGTATTCGAAAAGAAAAATTTTTCAATATTTCCTTCAATTCAAAAAACTATATACTTATTAAAGAAGTACTCCCTTCTTAATCTAGTTTTTTGCAAATATCTCAGTTTTCAATAACAATTTTTTTTTACTATTTTTAGCCATGTATAAAGAGCAAATGTATAGATTCAAAAAATGTTTGAGAAAGTTTCGATTAATCTTTCTAGGTGACAAATGTGTATAAACCCAATTGATTGGGGACCCAGGGTAAAATGTAGTTGTTTGAAGCAAGCACATTTTTCATCATTAGTGCCAGCTGTGTGATAGAGAACAAAAAATGATTAATAGGAATTCTAACTTGATTTATAGATTATGGCAGTTATGATAGAACGTACCGTGCAACTAACGTGTAATTTCACTTGTGGACAATTTAAACCTAAAAAATACAAATTGAAGACAGTAGTGTGGATTTTTATGATTGGTTTTAGAGATGTTTCAATTTAACTGTGTATTATCGTTATTTCTTGTGTTGAAATATTGCTATTTCTGATGTTTTTGTTTAACAAAATTGAAAAATATCCTAAATTATACATTGATTGAAATATTTAAATGTATTGAATAAGATTACGTACAGTCGATCCCAATCCAAGACAGAGCAAACTATAGTTTTGTTAAACATTTGTTATAGCAAATGCATGAAACAAATACGTGAATAGTGATACCGCTAGAACCGTACGAGTGGCATCTACATTTTGGAATTTAAAAAAGTCTGTGTGTGTAACTATTTAAACAACCTATCAAATTATGGTAGTGAATTGAATGCAGTTAGTGTATTTGCTTTATTCGCATGCATTCGCAATCAATTTTGAATGAGTTTTGTTCATTAATGTCTCTTTTTTTCTAAGCTTGCAACTTGAGCTGTGTTTAGTGATGTATATGTATAACATTCATAGACGGTAAAAAACGATGATAAAAAGCAAGTGATTAACTTTTGTCCGCATAGAAGCGATACGAAATACGGTTGTGCCCACTAAACTACGATTAGCCGGTGCTGGGGCTACAATGATACAATCAGTAAATCACCAAGAATCTTTTATGCCTGATGAACCCATCCTAAATGAATTTTTGCCGATCACTTTGCATTGGCATTTTTTGGAACGCTCCGTGGATCGATTATAGAAATTTGTCAGTTTTAGGAAAAAATCAGCTACGACAAGGCAAAACATACACATTTTTTGAAAGTAAGTTGCTAAGGGATCATTTCTAGATGGACAACCGGCCTAAACGATAAGAATTTTGGGGTGTTTAAGTAGATTTTCCGGTTTTGAAACTAAGTTGGCTCCAATAAATATACTGAGATATATTGAGCCTTAATGGAAGATATTTTGAGTCGAACAATCGGCTATGTATTTGTATGACCTGATCTTATTTTATTAGATAAAACATTCGATAATATTTTCAATAGCAGAATTCAATGTTGATTTCCATTGCCAAAAGAAAATGTTTGCTTCAATCAGTGGAAAGGTATGACAAAGCATCATTTAGTTAAATGTAAAGATTACTTAGAAACGATATCTTAGGTTCAATCTATCTACTTTTGATTATCAAGATGAAGGATGAAAGTCGGAATATGTACTAGAAGGCTGCCACCACATAAAAGGTGATTTATAAAAGATCACGACTGCGATTAAGTCAATTAATGATTTATAAAGTAAAAGTAAAAGGACCTACGACAGAACAAAGACATTCTAAAAAATTATATGCTCATTAATAATCACAGTTTGAGACTTCAATATCTATCGTAGTTAAGTGAAACCAGGAATATAAGTAAAATATATAATATATAATAACTATATCATAAAAATAATTGTAGCGCTCGAAAAGGTATCTGGAGAAAGTACTTTTGTTCTTGATATGATTTGAAATAATTTCAAAAATTAAAAAGAACGAAACTGCGAAAAATAACTTTTTCCTGAATATTACAAAAGCTATAAATATATCACGCAAATAATAATTATTTACGCGATAAATTAATCTCACATTTTCTTAATTTAACCGACTTCGCATCTCTTACGTTTTCGGAGATGCAATGCATCCTTATCTTGGACACCCACCCTGTATAGTTTACTATTTACTTTAATTAAGTGTTTATAACCTGTATAAACCTGTGTACTGGACATAATGAGTGTATAATAATCTTATTATTAATATACGTTATTGTGCTAATTGAATATTTTGTATTCATTTTTAGATTCCGCATATTGAGAAGCACCCTCTAGAAGACGATTCTAGTAAGTCGAGTTACAATACCCCCGGAGCTCTCAACTCATATGGAGATCCTATCTGGCCTTCTGCGCCAACCACATTAAATTCAGACTCTTCATTCAACCCAAAAATGTCTGTTCACGTGAACCTAGCGCAATATGTTCCGCAGTACTCAGAGGATACTAATCCAAGTTACAACTCACCCAATGCAGTTGATTCTTATGGCAATCTAGTTAATAGTCCGGGGCAATTGGGATTCAATGAAAATCAATTTTTCAAACCAGAAGATTATTTCAATCAGATCAACATCATTAATGACGCTCATAGGAGAAGAAGACAGGAAGCCAAAAGATCATCAGGTGAAAGTGGAAAAGCTTCTGCCGCCCATGTTCAAATGGAACGGGAAACTAGACACCGTAATCATAAATACACATAAGGAAACTTGCTGATATGTTGGCGCATAAATGGGAGAAGAAATTCTTCGGAAGAACTAAATAATGTGTTAAGTCATGCTGTAAGCTTTGTGGCTAAAATTGCTAGCATCTAAACCACCAAAGCAGACCAATGCCCGACTTTTATTTTAAAGTAGGTTTGGTAGGCCGGACATTAGACTGAAATCACATGGAAATATAGGCTCCAATAGAATAAATACTATTTATATTACATATTATTATTTATCCAACAATTTGCAGTAAAACTTTTTTATTTACTTAAGAATAAGCATGGCCAAGGAAATTAATTGGAAGAGTTTGGACCCTAATTATCACTATCTTTTCTAATAGTGAAATCGTTTTTATTAGATCTTTCTAATACTGTTTCGTAGTTGATCCTCACTTTCAAAAATTAATTTAATAAGAAGTAAAATATTTTTGAACGTCTTTATTACTAATTTTTTGGTTAAACTGAAATTAAGTCGGCAGCAGTGATCACTACTTGCGAATGTGGAAATTGAAATATTTCCCAGACAATTTGTTTTCAGGAAAACTTGCTTGATTGTAATGTGTAGACGTAACATTTGAAAATATTGATATTCGTTATTTATTTAAATATTATATTTAGTTTTTAATGGAACATAGTGTAAATTATCGGACAGTTCTAAGCACATATTAACACCGTTTTGATATACATAAATAAGAAACTAAGACGGTGTGATGAATGTTAGTAAGTAATTTAGTATTTGCAATAGTTTGGAAGGAAATGGGCTCTGAATATTGACAAATCTCAAACTTGCATATAATTCCACTCTATACCCTGCAACTCGGTCAGTTATCAACAATTTTCAGCAATTCAAAAACTCTTAAAAAGCCCATAGACTTGGCGTAAAAGTTGTTTTATTTTGTCACCGTTTCAGAGCCAGGAGAGTAAATTTGCAAAAACCTGAAGCGCTGGTGATTTCAGGAAGCACGATCTTTCGCTAGAAGTTTGGCGGCGCGCCATGATTTTTTTAATGTATTTTTACTAGCAACCCATTGATTAAACATTTTTTTAAAACCGCAAATGTTTATAAAATATTAAAATTTTGGTAATTACTAAATGCATTTCACTTGTGAGAGCAACATGAATGTAATGTTTTATACTGTTGTTTTCCTTTTTTATTTATATTTTTATTTGTTATTCGCTTTGTACATAAAATGTATTGCAGATTTTCTTTGGCAATAAAACGTTTTTTGAATTTGATTTTTTGGTTGTGATAAAACTGACCCTAAATAACCATACAGTTTTTAATTTGTCAATTTTATATAAGTCTGCAAATTGTTTCGAGTCTAGGGCTTCCTTTAAAAATAATAAAGTTATGTAGGTGTGATATTTAAAATAATATCAGAAAAAAGTAAACCCATCTTTTGGCTGGCAAAAACAAAACTGAGACTGTAATGCCATTTTGGTATATAAAAAAGAATTCACTACTACCAGGAACTAATCGATTAATTGGATTTAGCCAACAATCGAGAAAGAGCCATTAACTCAGGGATGATAAATTGCAGTGTTCATTGTAAGGGGACAGTTTCCTACAGGCAGAACTTTAGTTCAGATTACAAAGCCGGCAACCGATAACAAAAATCTAATTAGTCTCGATGTCCGAACAGAGCTTTACCGTGAAATTATTTGCCATTATTAATGGTATGTCGGGGTATGTAGGTACGACTGGTTGATCAATTGACGAAAAAGCCTTTAGAGCTCTGTCACAGCACAATATCACTGTTAATAATTTAGCGTTATTTTCTTTCAATAAAACTATCTTCAACTGAAATTTGTATATTATTCAATAAGCTCAAAATATACTGTTAAATAACAAAGATAATATGGAGCGTTTTACATTCACGTCATCATTATGACACGCAAGGAAGCTCAAGGAAACAATAAGTACAGCGGGAGACATTCCAGGGAAAAAAACTTCGTCGTCAAAGATGTTTCAGAAGGACGAAAGCAATCATGTTCATAAAAGAAAATCAAAAGAGTAAAAATCGCGATGAAAGTAGTAATTTAAGCACGTTTATTATTAATTAAGCATTTTTATGAACGAGGGATTGAAAAAAAGTGGCGTTAACTGATCATCAACACAGTTAAAAGATCAATCAGAATAATCAAAAATGCTGCAAGCAAAAGGAATATTGTTTGATGGAAAAAAAGTTTATTTTCCATTATTAGTAAGAAATACGGATACAACCGTGTACCTACATTAAAATCACTAATATTGAAAAGGCAATGAAACTATTCGACATTTAGCTTAAAAAATAACAAAGGCTTACAGTAGTTCTCCAATCAGAAAGTCGTGGTGGTTCATTGAAAATAAATTAAAAATCTATATTTATGTAATATGTTCAGTCGTTGAAACTTCCAGAATGGAATAAAACTAAAAGTGTAGTCAAAAATCAGTATAAGTGCGTTTAAACCTGACGAGCCGAGCATGAACCGACCCTGAGCAAAAATTCTGAGCAAAACGGCTTCAACCGTTTTCCAATTTTTGCTGACTAGTGCTCATAAAATCAAGTAAAATTTTGACTCACCTGGTATATTATCAAGCAAGCGGGTCAAGTTTGTGAAACGTCTGAGATTATCTAGGAATCCGTAAAGACCTATCTTAAGGAAACTTCTTGCAGCAGCAAAAAGCCTGATCGATTAATCTGAATCAGCTAACTATCACCGAGAAAATTAACTAAAGGATGATTAACGACTATATTCTGAGGCAATTTTCAAGGGACACAGCTTTAAATTATAATTTATTTGGTAGAAAGCAGATGACGGGCTATAAAATAAGTCCCAAGGGACGACAGCATTATCATATATTAATAAATACAAACATTATGAATTATTTTATAGAAGAAGAAGGAGAAATACTCACTAAATTGCAAAACAAAATCAAAAGTCAAAAGTCTCAAATCGATATTTAAAGCGTTGTTCATTGCATCCCCAATAAAATACCATAAAGCTGTGTATTCAAGCTTACTCGCACATTTGGGAAAGATCAGAAATAGGGTCATTTAAAATTAAATATTTGCTTTCAATTGGAATGTTTTGTTAATTGAAAATAAAAACACCGACAAAATTTGCACTTTCCTTGGCTCAATTCTCTCAACAAATGTGCCCTATTGATGAAAAATATTTCACACTCAAATTTCGGTTGGTAGGCACATGCTTCGGCTATATCTTTCACAAGCAATATGGGGATCGGTTTCGGACCTATTAGCTTTCATCAGCTGGGCTTAGCTTGCAGTTGTGATATCCAAAGTACTTTAAAAGAGTATGCGTCCAACACATGTATGACTAATGTATATAATGTATGTAATATATATATAATGTATGAATAATAAGTCAACAATAGTTAAGGACGTAACCAGTAGGATATGAATATTATTAACGCATGCATGTGAACATTTGCACGACTGTAGGCACATTTGCTAGGCTGTAGGCCGAGTTAACACCTGTTACGTACAATATTTTATCTACAACTATAACGACTATATTTTAATGATTATTTGAATAAAAATAATTAGTTATAAGATTGAATACAGCACCCAGGTCATGAGTATTTGTCATTGGCATCAGAATCATTGTCAAAGTGTGTCTGAAAAGTACATATTTTATAATGAGTTCAAGCGATGATTTTCCATGTAATATTGAGAACGAAGCTTTTCATGTTGTGGTTTCGGAGCTTGTGCCAAGGAAATCTCGGCAGAAATACCAAGATGCTTTTGATCGGTACCAGAAATAGTGCAGTAACCGAAAGATACTCTACTTAACAAGCGAGAAAAGATTATTAGTATATTTTAACGAAGTAAGCAAAATACATAACCCCTCAACCCTTTGGTGTTCAATGTTCTTTGTGTGTGTATCTTTCGTTCACGGCACCATTTCTGGTACCGATCAAGGCTTCTTCGTATCTATTTCTTCCGTGCTTTATCTGTCACAAGATCCGAAACAACATTAAAAGCTTCGTTCTTAACTTCAACTTATATTAAAATGTGCAATTTTCAGACACAATTTTGACAATGATCGACAGATTTATTACTAAACGCACTAGTGTGGTAATAATTTAAGAAAGCTCTAGTGCGGTAATAACATCAATATGACATTTGAAAGAGTGCCAAATCATAGTAATTACATAACAGTTGTATACCTATAAACTAGTTTTATGCCCATATTTCCATAGCAAATTACAGAACTTTCAGATATCAAAAGTTGAATCAATTCGAATGCGATTCTGATTTACTGCTGATACAAGCTTCCATTTTTTATATTACTGAATTTATATCAACTGGAAAGCTAATTAAATTTAATTAAAAATATATTTACGTTTATGTCGTGCCTACATTTTATACAATTTAATTTAATTTGATAATATTGTGGCTGCTCTTCTCTGCAAATTGATAATATTGTGGGAATTCTAATTAATTTAATATTACAGGCTCGCTATAAACTTTGAACAATTCATTTCATGTTGAACGATTTACTCAAGTCGACCGAATTTTTTTTGCGTAGCTTCAATTACCGTGATATTGCAACACATATTGGAATAGGCGCTAAGAAAACCCGTAAATTTTTAATTGTATATGTGTATTTTTATTTTTTTTACTTAAATTTGTGCCACACTTAAACTCTACAGTTACTGCAAAATTTACGATTGGACCTGTCAATAATTGTATATACTTTCCTGACTGTGTTTCAATTCCAAATCAAAATTAATTCCTGGGTTTCAGTCATTTATTGTCTTTATTTATCAATTAAAATACGTTTCGGCGTATTGTGTGTATTAAAAATGTATGCCAAGGCTTAAAGCAGCAACAACGCTACACGTAAAAACTGATGATGGTGGAAAAATACACCGAAACGTATTTTAATTGATAAATAAAGACAATAAATGACTGAAACCCAGGAATTAATTTTGACCTGTCAATAATTAATAACGATAATTTTTTGTCCTGAAAAGAACAGATTCATTTCAAGGAACAACAGCAATCATATGAAATGTTCAAATTGGGTGCCATTTACGGCTTGTAAATATTATAGGCGAGCAATAAACTCTTTTTGCAACTTGTTAATTTGGTATTCTACTTTTTACTGTAATTAAATGGAAGCCTGTCCTGACTGAATCTCTACTACATGACCCCCTCTTGACTTGAAAGCTCGACACTCCCTTGATAATAAATGAATAATTAAGAATAACGAAAAGTATTGTTTTTATTTATTCGGTAATTTTGTGTCGTACTTTCTCTAATAGTTCTGCAAGCAATAAATTTGTCTATTAGAAAACATTCTTCTTTCGATGTGTCATTCCCTTCTTCATTCTTTCCATTAACATGGTTAACGACTAAATGTTGTAAGTAACATTGACCCTGCACAATTGCTTTACTTGTTCTGAATATTATACATATACATATACAATCTTTTGTTGATGAAAGCTGAATAAATCAAATAAAAGTTATTAATAATAAAGGAAAGAAATTCAGATAATACGTTTCCTCACGCAGCTCTCATTATCGTTATACTCAGACCAGCAACCTTTAATTGCTTATGCCGACTCATCAACGTCATTTCCTCCGATTAGGTATCTGTCTGCTGTACATTCGCAGCAACAATGAAATTTATTTTCTGCTTGTAAACGTTTAATGCTTTTCCAGGTTCCCAAAAACCTAACTGGACTTGCACGTGAGTCACGGCATTCAGGAATTATTAATCGGTGCTCAAAATCTGCAGCAAGCGCAATCGCGTTTCGTAGTTTCACCATCATTTTCTGAAACTTTTCAGTTCTCCCGAAATCGCGCAACGGGACGTTTCAGCTGTATAAGTGGACTCACGACATCCATGCGTGGACTCGTAACTCGTAACAGTTAACCGGGAATTTTTTGAGTTTTCCTTGCAGTTAAATAGGTGAAACCACAAGTTTTAAACCTCATATTTTGACATGGTGATAAACTATTAGGGAACACCAGAATGTCAATTTACAGGGRCTTATTGTTGGCTGGCTTATTTGCACTGATTTGCTCATGTAAGTACKTAGGCAGAAATGCAATTTGCTGAAAACGKTATCATAAAAGTTTCGGAACAAAGTTAAACATTTTGACCCTATTTGAGGGAAACATGAYCAAATTTGGCATGGTAGACAATCATTGTTGGWGGTATGGTAGACAATCATCATGKTAGAYAATYTGCGGATACGTAGCGCAAAAGTGTAATTTTTGATAAGTRGGTATGATAATTATTGAAGTTGTTTCGTTTACACMCTCTGATATGATAGCGCTCTTGAAACTTGAAAAATAAGTCTYTCTTTAARTTCATRTGACGCATCGATATTTGTTCTGTAGAGTACCTGCATATTTGTGGTGTATTTGCTGTTAAATAGTRCCAAATGCCTAGTACCTAARTAGGACTAGCCTAGTCAAGCGTGCAGATAATTAATATKGTAAGAAAACAGGCAAAATTGATAACAAGCTTCRAAAAAGTACCAAAGACCTCATGAGGTWYCGACAAGAACTGCCGAACGAAGATACCCGAGAGCAACTGAGAAGCTTGAATAAAGAKATATATCCAAGGAAGCAAGAAAKKATTTRAGAAAGTTCAATGAGGATTAGGGTAGTAATTAGATTAGAGTAAACAAAAATTCTAACATCTTATRGAAGAAAATGRAAGCATKAAGGTAMTCAGAAAGAACATCYCAARTRACAAAAAATAACTTTTGYCCTCCAAGGYAAAACCGGTACACAAACGAATAATACGGAAAAGTTACTGCAGATTACAGAGRATTTATACAGGGAGCTCTATAGTCGCCATATAGTCGCCAAGRAAGYCAAGCGGAGATCCGTGCAAGGGCATGTCACCCAAAGGTGAAGAGAGAAGAAGAAATACCAGASMWAWCCTTGATGAATKAAAGATGAATTCGAGAWTGCAATAAGGGAAATGAMGAATAATAAAGCACCTTGAGASGACGGAGTGGTTATAGAGTCCTTAAACTTGGATGAAAGGGATTAATCAACACGTTTCGCATTGCTATTCAATCCATACCGGTATCATCCCCAGTACATGGAATGATGCTGTAATGATTCTGCTACATAAAAAAGGTGATATAACAGACCTTGGCAATTATGGACCTGTTAGCCTTCTGCCACATCTCTATAAACTGTTCACCACAATAATCGCCAATCGCCTCTAAGTAAATTTTATTTATTCCAACCTAGAGAGCAGGCTGTCTTCAGAAGTGGTTACGGAACAAATGATCATCTTAACGTTGTCAGGACCCTTGTATAGAAGACCGTTGACTCATCCCATACATATACACCAATGCAACCGCAAACGTAATTCTTCATAAACCAACAAATAAATTCAAAATAGAGAGAGAATCTCTCCAAAACTTTTCACAACAGTTCTCGAATGTGTTTTTAAAACACTGAACTGGGAGACCAGGGGTATAAACATTGACGGCGAGAGGCTTCAACTCAGTTTCGCAGATGACATTATCCTGTTTGCAGATAATTTGATGATGCTGGAAAAAATGTTGGAGGAATTGAGAGAAGCTTCAAAGAGAGTAAGCCTAAAAATGAACACATAGAAAACAAAACTTATGACAAACCTCGCTCTTGGTGGTACATTCTAAAGTGTCGGATACCAAATGGAACAAGTCCTCGATTATAAATACTAACCCAAACTAACCCAAATATCTCCGTCCGCCAACGAACCGGGGTCCAGGACATAATTGACTATATAACTCGACATATGTCTATATAACTCGACGTGTGTTCGATGGCAGATGGACGAAAAATTGCTGGAGTGGAGACCAAGACAAGATAGGAGGAATAGAGGTAGACCGCCGACCCGGTGGACAGAAGATTTGCCGGAAATTGATCAAAGAGCAAATATCTCGTTGCTTTGGGTTTAATCAATCTTGTGCATTTCATTGCAATTACAGGTAGCTGTTCTTTCTGTATATGAAAATTGTCAGCTGTAAACTTACTGATAAACAATAGTTACAATGTTTCCAATAACGAGCTATATATAATGCCGTTGCGCTTTAAGTCCGGTAAATACATTGTTGGAATGTAGTCTGTAAAGGAATCTTTTTTAAATAAAATTACCCCAACAATGCCATACAAACGGGGTATTGACTTTTCAAATTTAAACTCCAAGAGGCTTCTCGGAATGCTAATGGATGTGATGAACTAATTTGGAAAGACATAATTCGGTTATAGTATTTTCGTTTCCTGAAATACATTCGTGACTTAAATAAGGAAAGAATATTATATCCGAACGTACATTTGCGTACATCAATTGAAAGTAAAATATTATATTTTCGACCATTTACTTGCCCAGAATGATTTGTGGTGCACTGCCGAATATTATACAGGGTTATTCACGCTATACGGTACAGACGTTTGCGGCTAGCAAAGTATTATTTGATGAATCCACAGACGCCTATCGGGTGCACATTTAAAAAATATTTTTGTAATGTACAGAGTGTCCCAAAAGCCCTAAAAGTATCAAA